GGTCCAGACTTTTGACCAATCAGATCTCTCTATGATGCTTGACCGGCAAGTGTCCCGGATTTTTGGCCAATCTTATGTGGGATCGGCTTCTCGGCCGTAGCAGCACCTGACTGTGAGCGGTGAAGCGGGTTCGTGTGGAATTCCGCCTAACAACTTTGAAGGTTCAAGGCGCGTCTCAGTTCAGTGGCGATGAACCCACTTGAATGCCTGATTTTGCATCCCGTTGTAGTTTACTGAAGGCTGCTTCACAGAAATGAACGGGATGTTTAAATGACTGCAGGTCCTCTCCACTGAATGTCAACGCCTCATCAGCCTGAAGAACGATACAGGTGTGATCAGTCAATCACCTGCCACTTCAAGCAACTTTGTCCACGCAATAAATGGCAGCTTTATAAATGATTCCGAGAATAAGCCCGGTTCAAAATAGAGCAAACCTTTCACAAGATGCTGGCGTTGCTGTTAGTGCAATGTTGCCCATTAGTGTCGGTTTAAGTGTGATAAATGTCATAGATTTGGTCGGAGTGGCCACTTAAAGGTTTTGTATCGATCCCAGATGCTGCAACCACCAAGGTAACACCGTGCAGCTAACAAACGCGGTCCAACTTGGTTACGGAGACATTTAAAGTTGATTGTGCTTGCCGAATGTAGCTTGTGATGGTAATAAGCCGCCTTTTACTGTGCTGGGCTCGAAGTAGGGGATCCCCGTATTTACCACCAACCGCCTTCAACGATGGTTCAATCAGCTTCTGGGACACGGCTTCAAGTTCAAGTGCTGGTCCTCAGATATGTCGCGTCTCATCGATTCAAGTAGGCCAGAAACAGAGAACACTTATTGCAACAATTGCCTTGGAACTGGAACGCTTTGCACCTCCGAGCGGCTGCCGACATAGTTCCCAATGCTACCGACCATGGCCTTCTACTGCAGCAGTTCATCAACTACCACTGCAATCACTCGTCTCGTATCTGCTCAGAAGACGAATTGAGAACTTAATTTAAACAATGCATGATGCATTATCACCAGCCGATGGATGCCTTATTTTCAGAACGCGTTGTCTACCATCCGTCTTGAATTAGTTTCATGAACGGTATCCGAGAGCAAAGAGGGTGGAGGCCCTTGCTTGGGATTACCTCTTCCAGCCTCCGAGGTAATCCCAAATTAAGCAAGTATCCAAATAGTGCCCGCGCAGTGGTAAAGCATCCGTTAAAGCCTACATATGATCGTGGCCGTAACCAGCTGTGTCGTGGTCTCGTCTTCGCATCAAGTATGCAGGTCCAGTTGGTGGGCAATATTTTTTGGCCGTGATCGATGCCTGCATCATATGGCCGGAAATTGTCCCAGTAAACAGCTTCACAACCGTCAATACAGTCCTTGAACTCAAATATCAAAGACTAACCGAAAACAGTCGTCAATTTACGTCAGTGGCGTTCGCGGAGTTTTGTCTGGAGTATCCATGTCCACTAACCGCCGTTTCATCCGTAGTCGAACGGCATGGCAGAGCGCTTCGTTGACACCCTGAAAGTGGAATTCAGAAACCTGGAGGAGATGGGCCGACGTAGGCGATTTTACAATGACCTGCTAGCATATCGAACGACACTAAACCCACATTCGCCTGATGGAGTGTCGCCAACAGAAGTATGCTCCGAGGTAAACTTCGAACAACACATGACACTATCCGACCACAGAAAAGGTAACTGAGTCACCGTAACACGAGAATGCAGATCCAGTTTAACTGGCATCGTGGCACAGACGCCCGATCCTTTACAGATGGCCAGGTAGTGTCGTTTCGCGGCTGCAGTGATGGGCACCCCAAGTTGACTTCAGTACAACCCCCACCGGTGCCGCAAACTGTTTAACGAAATTAAACCCGACCCCTGCAGGCGTATCCGGCATAGAAACCAAATCCGGCGGATAAATGCCAGTTCCTGCCAACCAGACTGAGTGAGTTTTGTCTACAGACGCCTCTGGACACGACCCCCCATATTGTTGAGGAAAACGGATCAACTGCTCCGTTTGAGGTCCAGCCAGAGCATGTTATGCTAGTGGCTCTCAGTGCTGTCTCTATGACTCGCCGTATACGGGCGAGTGGTCATCGAGTGCTCATCCAGACCGCTAGTATTGATCAATGCCGCTAAATCAACAAATGAAAGCAACGGGCACGACGGTGCATGAGAATCCTTCAGGTGCCAAATAGTGAAGAGCTTAAGGAAAGATCGAAAGCTTTGGTGTACATCAAAAGTGCAGGAGACGGAGGAAGCCTTTGTTACCGGAAGCAGCCGTGGCCTACACCAGTTGAGGCGATGGATTGACCATAGGAGAGCAACAGTCATTTACACGATAAGTTGAAAAGTGGCTTATTAATTTCCCTTGAAAGACATCGACTGGAAGGGTGGGTCGAACACTTGTCCTGGCCTTCTGTAGCACATTCTATTGAAATACTGCATGCAGGCGAATGCAATGTAAACCTTACCCTCCCGTCAATAGAGGAAGTAAACTACAAAATATCCCCGCTTGATCGTGTTAAATCCCCAAGGGCCTGGCGTTCTGCATCCAGCTTTCTTCAAAGAAAGCGAAGAACCCCCTGGTGGCCTATTTGAAAAACTCACTGGTGCGATATGGGGTGAATAGGAATGGTCTACAGAATGGGGCATTTCGACAGTTATTCCTATCTTCAAAATGGTACGCTGACGTTTTGTGAAACCTGGTAACTAGTACCGAAGGTGCTTTCTGGTCTTTTTCCTCGGAGATTGACTCAACACGGGGAGAAACAGATTCGTGAAAACCGAGCCGGGTTCATCACTGAATCGATAACACTCACGTCCCGACAGCGACACGGCTTAATGCAGACAACATTGATAGCCTTTTTTGACTTGAAAGCTGACTTTGACAGGCACACTGTCAGTGTCTACGAGTGAGCGAGATGGCTCAATGATTAGGGAGCAAATCTACTGGCCTGAAGGTCCGTGGTTCGAAGCTGACCTCTCTCCAATTTACGTGTCCAGGCTTGGGTAACCTGGCCAGTCCATCCCTCGTGCTTCCTTCGGGTGGCACGGCAGCTGGCCACCGGAAGGGTGTTACAGCTGAACGATACCATTTGTAGATATCTCCCACAATGCTTGACGCTCTTTAAGGTGCTGTAGCCATACTCAAGCGGACGTGTGAATATCTGCGGAAATTTCTCGCCTAAGTTCATGCGTCAAGTGGCGTCAGACAAGTTTGCCCCTTCAGCCTTTCCTCTTCAACCTCGTCACTGATATGATTATGACTAACTACCCCGCGGTAATTCAAACAATATTAAATTATCTGGATAATTGCGCCTCGTACCCTAGCCTCATGCTTGTGGATGAACCGATTGAGGTAGTAGACAAATTTGTTTACCTGGGCAGCTGTGTCAGTCTCGGTGGTCTCGCGAAAGATAATATTTCCATCCGGATTGGGAAAGCCAGAACAACTTTTGTTAACTGTCACCTGTGACATAGGCGTGACACCAGCTTATCCGTCAAGGATCGAGTTTACATTGCTGCGGTTCGCTCCATACTACTACATGGATCAGAAACCCAGCCGTTGCGCTCTGAGGACACCCAAAGAATTTCAGTGTTTGACCATCGACGTCTTCAGAGCATTGCCCGAGTCTGGTGGGAACACCGGATCAGCAACGCTGAAGTACGTTGCACGGTATTCGAAAGAAATAACACCCTCGACAGATGAACTGATCACACTGCATAGGTTGCGCTGGCTTGGCCATGTGCTGCGTATGCCAGTCGACCGAATGCCTCGAAGGGTCCTTTTCGCATAAGCACGTGAGGGGTGGAAACGAACCAGAAACGGCCAAACAATAACTTAGCAGCGAAATATAAAAGCCATTACCAGCAAACTCAGCTGCGCTGGTCATTTGGCGTCTTCTTGGATGGGAAGCCCGAGACGGGCCACATCAGTGGTTGTGAATGATGATTCCTCCACTTGACATTCCACTGACAGTGCCGTATTTATGCACGAATTTATCAGGTCGCCTCCAATGCGCAGCTGTCTATCCCACCTCCCCTAATCATTGGTGAACAAAACTGTGGTAGCTACAACCACTACGACAAGTACGCGGTTCTCACAGCTGACAATGATGATGATGATGACACTCCCTGTCGAAATACTACCAGATGTCGAGTGTGCAGGCAACATAGCTCTTCTTGGATTTGATACTATCGTAATGAAAGAAGTAAACTAAATAATTCTGCCTCACGGTTTGGCGTGCGCTTTACACCTACGAAGTGTAAATTGCTGTTGCAATGCTGAGTGGACTAGAACTCCAACCTATTGCTTGCGGATGAGCCGATTGACGCGGTGTATAAACCAAGGGATGTCAAACACTGGCTTGGCAACCAAATATTAGAGAAAACGATGAAGTCAGCTGTGCTGGCCATTGCCGTCTCCTTAGATGGAGAACGACAGTGAAGCATCGGTGTTGAACACTGATGTCGTGCTGTCGATGATGATGATGATGATCATGATGACGATGATGATGATGATGGTGATGATGATGACCCGAGGCTGGACTTAAATGTTTAGAAACATCATCAAATGTGACCCACCCGCGCGCTCAACGGAGCTCATGCATCCAGCCTGTTGCGTTAAATACATAGCCCCGCACCCAGATTTCCCTTTTGAAAAGTACGCTGACACCCCTAAATTAAGACAGCAATTATACCGTTTACCGCCTCCAATACGTAGCTACTTATTCCACTTCCCAAAATCACCAGCGAACGAAACTATAGGGGCTATAACCACTACACAACAAGTACGCGGCTCTCTTTACAGTCGACGATGATGCTTAAGGTATTACTACAAGACTGGGTGGGACCAAACCTAGACCACACGCTTGCAGATATGCCGTTGGTAGATAAATTAGTCTGTGTGCAGGTACATAAGTCATGATGGGTTGGCGAGGCCTAATCGCTTCCCTAACTGGAAAGGCCAAGGCAGCGTTTGCCAACCTCCGACATTTTTGGAGCCGAAGTGACATTTGGTTGACTCTCAAAGGTACAGTGTATAATGCTGCGGCCCAACCTCTCTCGCTTTATGAACCAGGGACGTAGCCACTGTGGGTGAAAAACCTGTGTATACTCAAGAACAAGAATTAGCAATAGGATCTCCAATATCTGCGGTTTTGGAAAATATCTTCAAGGAAGATTTCTAGCAGCAAGCCTTAGGTGGATTCTCCTACCCGCTCAAGATGTTCTGGTGTTATGTAAATCACACTCGTCATGATGAAATGGGGCAAGGTCGGTAACTTTTACAACTCTCTTTTGTAGCACGTTTTCAGTGCCTAGCTGCCATACCAACGGAAGGAAGTATCAAGGTTGGGATACTTCCAGGTTGCCAAAACCTAGTCAGGAGCAGTCGAGATGTTGAGATCGTGTTCGAGCCACGTACCTTCCGGTTCGTGAGCTTGTTCCTTAACCACTGGGCTATCTTGAACTGGACAACTACCTGAATGACCTGAATCCACACATCATATTTTGTATGGAGATAGATTCAGCCCTCCTAGACTGCATGATGTATAAGGTCGAGGGAAAACTAAAGATCACGGTGTGGGAGAAACCTACTGATATCGAGATAATTTAAAACCACTCGTCTGTCTGTATTCGTTGGTATCACCTCATCAGTGTTTAGCCATGCAAGAGCCCTGTGCACAGAAGTTCAGATAGCGGCCCAACTTGAAGTAAAGACATTCTGGGGCATCAGTCATCCAGGAAAGATGGAAAACTGTCTATCTGTAGCAACCTTTCGGTGCCTAACTGCCATGCCCCCCAAGGAAGCTTGATGGTTGGGAAACTACCAAGTTACCCGAGCCTAGACATGAAAGGTCGAGAGGCAAGGGTCGGGTTCGAACCACGGACCTTCCGTCCAGTAAGCTCGAGCGGTAGCCGCCGAGCCATCTCACCCCCTTTTAGTTATCCAGCTAGTTTGACTAGGCAACAAGAAATGGGTTGGGATTACTGATACTTTCCAATAAACCGAGGACATCAGAAGTCCTTCGAAGGATTTTAAGCGTGACTAACATAAGGGTAACTTTCCAGAAGGGGATACTCTCTGTACTGGTGCATTTGAAGGATCACCCCCGGCGAACAGAACTAGGGATTATGTAGAAAAATTGAATTCAGTGACTGCACTAAGGTCTGTACAGGACAAACGATCAGGGAACTTTACACCAGAATCGGAGGGCACAGAAGAAAAATCAACAGGCTTCTGAGAAACGTCACTGAAAGACCTAGTAATGGCAGAACGTGCACCGGACAAGAAACACAAAGTAGAATAAGAAAATGTTGGAGTTTTGAGGCAGAGGCTGCGGTCCACTAACTGCCACCTCTCCAGTTGGAGGCCCTGAGGCGAGACAAACTAATGGTCAATGACCCTTACAGAAATGGATACACCACGCAGTCAGTGGCGGTATTGAATCACAGTTGTCGCTGTTACTGTGTAGCCCTCACTTCCTGTCGTAATGGACGAACAGATCCGTTTGTCGTCAATGCAAAGTTTGGGCCTACTCCGAAAAGCGTAACTGAGGGGTGTTCAGTGAGCACCCCACTGTCGACCAGTGAGACTCTGTGTGGTAACTTGGACTTGTGATCTGTGGTTTATGTTTTTTTCGGGAGAGTTCGCTGCAAAAGCGAGTTCAACATAGTGCTTGTTCAGTACTTGTGGTTGCGTTATGTGATCTGGATAAGCTCGCTTGTTGCGTTGTGCGCTGAGTCCTTCGGAGCGAACAATGATTCATACGCGGACCGAAGCTCGCTCAAGGATGACTTATGTGTTCCAATAGAATCCTCACATATCGTCGCCGTCGGGAACTGGCTGCAATGACTTAGGTGACGCTAACAAAAGCTATCAGAAAGTGATGCGGGCTGCACTGAGCATTCATATTCGTGACCAGTAATACGACCTTCGTGTCAGTGGCTTTGTGAGTAATCTCGTTCAGCTGGAATTGAAGTTACTCCTTCATGGTGTCGGAACTGACGTCGACTTGGGCGTAAAGAGAGTCGAAAACATACTTTCGATCCAGGTTTATGCTGAAAGTCCTGAACGCACCGGTGCGTCTCACTGCTCACAATGAGCTCGAGGTAGCTCTGTGGTAAAGGTGCGAGCTTTCTAACCGTGGTCTTATTCCAGCTCCCGGCATCTCGAATACCAGGCTTGAACAACCTGTGGGTATCGCTGCCCCTGTACTTCCTTTTGGTGTCATGACAGCTATGCACCTAAAAGGTGTCAGTTGAAGGGTTGTTTTCATTATTTATTACAGCACGCAGTCTGGGATTTATTCAGATCCAGTTAGCGAAGGCGGATTCCGAAGTGGAACTGAGTGCGTTTCCAAAACCTGCCTATCCGCATGTCATTGTTTAGAGGCTCACAGACGGGCGCAAGGTGTAGCTACAGATTGTCGGAGTGGTCGGAGGGCCTAGATTGTGCGGTGATTATCTCTTGAATTTCTACTACTACTGCTTAGACATTATTGATCTGGACAAGTCGTTTTTAGTCGGTCTTCAGGATTGACGTCACACTGAGCACAGGTATTCTGAATGGTTCAGTATGAGAGTTTTGTGTTTTGGATTGTGAGGAAGGCCTTAAGGAACGTTTTCAACCTGACAAACGTTTGGCGTGTACGTAAGTGACCGGCAAAGTACTCAGAAAATTGATTCATGTTCTGTATCAACAGAGCACTCCGACTGAAAGCACCCTGGTCAACTGATAGCGAGAATGTTGTAGGACTGAATGGAAATGTAATGTCGATTTCGTGTATATGCGTGAGATTGCCTAGGTTGAACTGAGGTCGACCTATGGGCTTTTACTCGGTCTTTGATTGAAGGAATCTGGTCCATGAGGTAATCAGACCAAGCAAGTTCACCGTTTTCTGATGGCCGCTTACTGAGTCCTAGCTCTTACGTCTTTAGAATAGAGACTAGCTATCCAGCCTCCTTCAGGTATCATTTGAGTTAGGCACCGACTGGGTGCAATAGCTGAACGACAATGATCCAACATGTCCAGCACACCCGTGGATACGTCCCGCAATGACCATTGTCCTGTCCTGCGTTTGTTCATGGTGACTTGCCAAGATTCATTTATGTGCCGTACATTGGAGGTTTGAGACCAGGGTTTTGCCAGACTCCTTATGCGGACAACCGTGGGTCCATCCGAAATTGGTCCATTTTTCGCAAGCTATTCGGATACAGTCGCTGCGTTCGGAAGTGACAGTTTGTGTTGCAAAAGCTTTTATTGACTTGGGGTTAGTATCATTCCTTCACAAAAGCATCATGTTTAGACGCGTCACATTTCTGCTTGGCAGAAATGCGGAGTGTTTCGGGAAGGTAGTTGACTCTGTCAACTTGCAGGTGTTGCGCACGCGTCGCGTTAATTGTATGCAATCCTACAAAAATGGGCCGTCACGGGAAAAGAGTAGCCCTCACACTGAAGGAGGCCAATGGGAGAATTCTTTCGTGTACCCTTCCGCTAACTTGTTTCTGTAGATTACCCTAATCAGCTCATGAAGCTGCCGTCCACACGTTTTTGTGGTACTGCTCTGTTCTTCCACTTGCACCCTGCGGGGTTCACTCCGGTCGCTTACATTTTTCGTGTGTTTTGGTTCACCGAACCATTATTTCCTCCTTTGATCGTAATCGTCGTTTGGCTTCTGAAGTCAATCGCCATTTGGGTCGTTGTCGCAGTGGTCTTTCTATAAGTTTCATCTGCTTTCAGCATGATCTCATTCTTCGCAAATGGCTTCCTCCTAGGGTGATCCTTGCTGTTAAATTGGGTCCACTCGGTGTAAACCGGTTTCCAGAATGATTCGCCCATCTCTAGAGTTCACGCTGTCAGTAATACTTTTACTGTCACAGGCAAGTCTTTTTGATTTAACACCCTTTAATAGTGTAGTTTTTCGCCTGTAGTTTTAAAGAGGTTCCGAAGGCCGTGGCTTTTTACTGCGGTAGACCGGCGCTTTACCTTACCGCAAACGGATGGGAACTGGATCAGTTTACGGACTGTTTGAATACAAAAAGTGACATTGTTAACTTCTGTCGTCGAGTGTATCCGGACGCTAACATCACGAACGCTTCCTTCTCTCCTGTTGTTGATATCCTACTCAGAGGATGGTGTCATCAACAGAACTCTAGCTGTTCCTTGGAAGAATCGTCAGTTTACCGCATACAACCTTGGATTTGTTCAGGTATGCCAGTTTCTGTTTCGTCTTGAAACGTCTTCGCTTCTTTGTAGCCCAAAAGCCTCCACTAAATGTTCCCCGAGGGTGCCAGTTGAAGGAGTTTGGTGGGAGTAGCAATGCAACTTGTAGAAAGTCTGAATACTGGAAGCATTTGGTGTCGGAACACTGTATGCGGTTGCGACAAGTGGAGTACATCAAACCATGTATCAAGCCGGATTCATACCTTCATACCCACTACTTGGGAGTTCTGGCTGTTTGCTGTGCGATTAAAAAGGGAAAAGGTGAGTAATGACGTTTAAATTAGACATCGTGTGCGCTTTTGTGCACAGTTGCCATCAGTGATGAGCTTTGGTGGCCCCTGCAATCCGTCAGACGCTGCGGCAGGCTTAAAGCAGTCTATGGAAGGGCGAGATGGACCAAGTGGTTAGCGCGAATTTACTGACCGGAAGGTCCGACAACAACATCACGGCAGTTTAATTTTCTGACTGTCCTCTATCGAGCGACAATATACGGGAGCGAAAGATTTGCGCTGATCATCCGTGCATCACATAGGTGTACCATCGTGCGTAAAAGGAAGTCGACTTGCTTCTTCGTGCTTCGTCTCTGTGCTATAGTTTCGACAGGTAGTTTCAATGGGATACTCAGGGCGGATGCTTGCTAATTTGACAGGGATGGATGTTTAGGTGGCGGACACGACACTGAGCTTATAGCCTCTTGTGTCGTGACACAGGCACCTAGAATAGACGGGTAGTGAAACGACGGATCAACAGAAGAGATTTTGATTGATCATGATATTGGTCAACCTCTGTTACGCTATCTTATCACGTCACGGTGGCTCTGGAGTAACCTTGCAAGTACTTTCGTGACTTTTTATAAATATGGTTGCGACAGTCTTGTTTTGTCGCACTACATTAATTAGGTCGTGGGACAGCTATCCTGTGAATGTGAATGTTCAAGGTATGCGTGAGTATTAAATATTCATATTCACTTTCGACGATTTGGGAAGTTTTATCATGCGCTCACCTAAGCTCTTCATATCAGCTGGATACGGATAATATTTCATATCACCGGTTCTTTCCCTAGTACTTATCAGTTAGTTCTCCCTCACCAGAAGAAGCTGCCGTGGAGGGGAAATTTTTAGTCTTCCTAAATAGTGTGGGAGTACCATAATGTTTCCCAATGCCTGTTGCTCGTTCTATGCCCAAAGCCTCGTTCTTAGACATATTTCGAAGCGTTGCGTGCTAGTTCGTAGGGACTTTTGAACCCATACGAAATTTTCAAAGGGCTATTTATGGTATCAAAGTAGTATATGTGCGCTATTCCTAGGTATTTAGCTTGCAAAGTACGCAACTTAGAAAGTACTCTAGCGGCCTCCCCATGGAATTCTTACCTTAAATGAAAACGAAGTTTAAACAACACCCTTCGGGAAACACTGCTTCTTTTTCTCATTGAGGATCCTTAGCAGTCGTCCGATCTCACGAATCTATTTTCGCTTGTTTGACAGTAAAACAGCAACACCATTTGCACATGCGCATGTTTTTATCGTTCTTATCCAGTTTCTTGGTCGTATTCTTAATCCAGAGAGCGCTGCAAAATATAGTCAACAAAGAGTATCACTTTCCGAGCTGATGTTCATACTTGTTCACTTGTTTCACGGAATACTGCAAACTGAGCTTTCTGTCGGATGCATATTAACAGTGTCTATTGCCCAGTGCCTATGCTCGTCGCATGCTTTGTTGCGGCAAGCATGGATGATAATCTAAATGGACAAATGAAATTTTTTTCTTTGTTCTTTTTGGCACAACAATTAATACACAGCCTTGTAGACCATTCCAGTGGCCGGAGTGTGTGTAACCATCGACAGAATGTTATGAAGACGATTAAAAATGCTCTTTACAGTGTCATTGTAACTCGCCTTCCAGAATAATGTTCGTGTGATCCTGTGCTCAGATATAAGCGCTGGGAGACATGGCCCTTAATGCCTGCCGGTGGCACAGATGTCGGTTTCTGTCCAGCTTGTCCGGAAGTGTGCACCCTTCAGAGTGCTCATAGTCAGTTAAGTCCTTCTTCCCGCAAAAAGGCTTTCATGCAATTTGCACAACTACGGCAACGAAATATCATTGTTATGTACTGTTTTTGCGCTGTGAGTAACGTTGTTTGCAATTCACACCTATTTGTACTGGGTTCAAACACAGACAAGACAAGGAATGATTCACCTCATACAGGGGGACCATGGACGTTAAATGTAACGCTGGACTGGAAATTCGCGTTCGATCCATCACCTCGAAGACTTCGTCAGCTGCAAAAAAGGCAGTTGTGCTTTGTACTTAGTCACTCATTTCCTAATTCAGAGGCTAGTTGACGCCGCCTTGGTGTCAAAAAGGACGCCATATGGGAGTTCCTTCAAACCATAGTAGTATGTTGGGGATATCAATACCCTCCCAAACTCCATATCCTTATGTGTACTAAAGAACTTCAGGCATGTTCAAGGTTAAACTAAGGATATATATGTTCACCGTCACTTTTCTATAGATCGCCTGTTGTTCGGAGCTTTTAAGTTGTGCTCAGGGTTTCGTCTTCTTACCATCCTGCTGTACTAGGAATCGGGATAGAATGTCGTTACAGTCCGCTCATATTTTCATTTGTTCGCTGCATTGTTGAAACACAACATAGCAGTGTTTTGTCGAGGAGAGGAAGGTTTGTTTTCTTTTCCTGGTTGAAATCGTTGCCGTCTAAGGACAGGTGGTTAAGGGTAGAAAGACTCGCAGTTTGCCTGCTGTGTTATGATGTGGCAGCACCGCCGTCCATATAGTGCAGTACAATCCCATGTTTTTTTTAAAAGCAATACAATACGCCCGGGTTGTTTACGAGGCAAACCAACGTTCAGCGTTCAGCTGTAGCACCCTTCCGGTTCCTAGCTGCCATGCTACCCGAGGGAAGCACGAGGGCTGGGATACTGCCAGGTTGCCCAAGCCTAGACAAGGGAAGTCGAGTGGCGGAGGTCGGATTCGAACCACGGACCTTCCGGTCAGTAAATTCGCGCTCTTGGGCCACTTGGGCCATCTCGCCCCCTAACCAACACGCTTACGTGGAGTAACGTACCTTCCACACTGCCTCGAAAGATGGGATACAACCCTGCGACAGAATGCTGGAAGTTTCTTTCTGTTGGAGGATGACACAATCCGCATTCCGGACCACGAATAAGGTTGCTGAAGTAGTTTTGACCAAGTAGCCCGACGATCTTAAAGACAACGCTTCCTTGAGCGGCTATCAATATGTATTCTGGAGCTATCGTTCCGCCGTTAATATTGTCTTACGTGTCACGCCCTTCGTCTTTCTCCCTAGGCCCTTGTTGACATAAGCGTGTTTGCCTTTGACCGGCCTGTGCATGCGCATTTTGCTATACTCCACCCTGTGAGGGCTACATTCAGACTTGGTCGGGGTTAACTCGGATGTGCGCTTCCCCCTGTTCCTCTGTTGTCTGAACAACCGTTAGCTCTTTTATCATCATCATCGACAGCCTGACATCAGTGTTCAACGCTGGTGTTTCGCCGCCGCACAACCATGATTTACTTGAAGGTTTTATTGTGAACAGAAGCATAAAAGTGGATTGAGAAGAGACTTAGTGCTGACTTACTACAGATATTCATTCAGGCAATCTGGGTAGAAATGGACAACAAGGACACCACTGACGTCGATTAGCCGCCATATTTTGCGACATCTCCAACCAGGTGCAGGGGCGATCACGAAGTGCCTACCCTCGAAGTTAAGTGACCCCGGCGGCACCCAATCGTTTCGCAATCTCTTTTATACCCCTCTGCTAAGTCAGGGATTGGCCACGTCTTTGCTCTCGCCATCCTTAATTGGGCACGTAAAACATCAGTCTCTTCGGTAAACGATGATTCGCCGTACGCAATACATGGCCTTCTCAACGCAGCTTTTGGTGCTGGACACATTCTTCAATGGCGCCCTCCACTGCACAACCGAACACTAGCTTCCTGAATGCCTCGTTGCAGACTCGCCAAGACCAAGTCGTACGAACTATAATCCTAAAACTGTGGCGTGATACCCACGTCCATTGAAAAAAGTCGTTTAGCTGTAACACCCTGTAGGACCCTGTCATGCCACCAGAAGGAAGCACGAGTGTTGGGACACTGCCAGACTGCCCAGATCGAGACAGGGGAAGTCGAGAGACAGAGGTGAGGTTCGAACGACACACTTTCCGGTCAGTAAATTCGCGTGCTAACCACTGAGCCACTACACCCCCTGAGATTCAGGGAAATACCACTTTGACGCCATAAGTGTTACAACTTAGTAAACGGAACCTGAGCCTTGCAGGTTAGTGTGTTGATATGATCTATCGGAATTAGTTCAACTTCCAGAATACGTAAAATGTTGCATAACCTCTAGTGCCTCTTCCTGTATTGCAAGTTGGGTGTTCAGTGACTGGATGTCCACGACCATGACCTTGCACTTTGTGGGTGCAAAGTGCACATCCATGGACAGGATGACTGGTCAGTTCATCCAAAAGGATATGCGCCTTCCCCCCTTCGAAGCCGAGTGCGGGGTTGTCTGCATATTCCGGATGGACAGGGTTTTCGTCCGCTGCTAGTTGGACATCGGGGTTTTCGTCTGATTATTTCATCGACCACGAGATTAAATAGGAATGAAAGGAATGGGCGCCCCTGATGGACATCTTTGTATACAGATGTTTTTGGAGAGCTCTCCGTACACACTCACAAGCCAGAAAGTCTGAGAATACAAAGAACTTTTTATGTTCACAAACTTCCAGATCATTCCTTGATGTGCAGGCGTGTCAAGGGAAGCAGACCAATCAGCTGAGTCAATTGCGCCTTTGAAATCCAGAAATAAATCTTTCGTTTGCTCTAGCACTTGACTATGGAGATTTCGTCAATGAAACCCCTACCAGGCCGAAATATCTGTTGCTGCTCTTGAATCACTGTTTCACGAACAACCATAAGGCGACCAAGCACAAGCGACGCCGACAATCTCGCTACTGTCGGTGTCAAGCTGAGAACCATGTGGTTATCACACGGCGAACCCCTTTTTTTTAAATGGACACTCACCACCTCTCCCAAGTTGTCTGACACAGTCTACTTTTGCCAGATACAGGCAAACAGATCAAACAAGCGGTGACCGAAGACTTCACTGTCATCTTTGAACAGTGTGAGTGGAATACCAACGAATGTCAGTGGCGTTCTTGTTGTCAGTTTCTATCCAGATCGCCTGAGTGAGTGTCTGGAGGTATAAGCACCTCGGAATGATTGTGGTAAGCTATCACTAAGTCCCTTCCCCGTCCACCTTTACTCTTTTCTTTACAATAAGGCTTTCAAATAAATCACGGTTGTACGGCAGTGAAGCATCGGTGTTGAACACTGATGTCATGCTGTCAATGATGATGCTGAACGTCATCCATATCAGTAACTCGATAGCGCTTAGAAGAACATACACAGTCGAAAACCTCCGACGCCGTACGGGGTTCTAGGTTCACCGTCCAGGGTACTACGTTAGCTGTGGTCTTCAGACGAGTAGCAGCTGGTGGCCACAATAACTGTTGTCCGAAGTATTCGGCCCGAAGGTCGGAGCGTTCTTTATCCAAGATGGTAGCCCTATTTTGATTCTTAGTAGTTTCGGTCTCAGTAGTTCCCGGGAACCGATCGCACGGATCAGCCATAATAATATTCGGGCATTCCCGGCTTTCTGGCCTCTTCCATCTTATCTTTCGGTGTCCATTAGACCCCATCTCGTATTCTAATTTTCACTTGATTTTTGATGATTCGTCAAGTTATGTTGACCGGCTGGAATATTTCTCGGAAGTGTAAGCAGTCCCACAATTGTTAAGTGGGCCTAGCAACGCCGTGCCGCAGGTAAAACTCCTAGTACTATGCAAAGAGGTAGCAATCTCGCCTCACCTTATATCGGAGAATTTGGAGGATACTTTAGGAGACCATTTTTGTAAATTCTTCTGTCCGCACCTTATGCGGGCCTAAAGAACTAGCGGAGAAGCGAATCCGGATGAGTGCGTGGTTGGAATCCACAACTACGTTTCAAAACGAGTGGCAGTCAGTTATCGTTCCGCGCCATTGGTAACTGATGGCAATGTGATCAATTTTAGTTCGGGGCGGTCACATTGTTTGAGGACACCATGTGGCTGAACGATTTTGGCTATTTCGGAAATGAGTACTGCATAGAAATAGCCCGCGGTCAGCACATAGCTGAACCAATCGTTCGGCCTTGTCTGTATGTACTGAGTCGAATTCATGTCGACCGTTTTCCGCTCAAGTCCGATTGTGTCATAAACTAGTTCTAAATATATTCAGTGGGCCATTTTGCGAAAACGGCGAACTGAATATTTGAATACTTTTCATTTCCTTCCCTTCCTTTTCATCTCCCTCAGGTGTTGTCACTACATCCCCACCCAGTCCGGCAATTCAGCCATCCAAATCCAACTTTTCCTTCCCACTTCCGATATCATCGAAATCGGATGACAGTCTCATCATCGATCAGAACGTAGCAATCTATCAGGGTTATCTCAATCAGCTAACTGCAACTACGACAATGGGAACGATCGCAGAGCCCGACAAATCACGCGAGAAGCAGCGATACAGTATCGCCAAGAAAGCCGGTCACGAAGCCTACCACAGACGAAAGCACATATTGGAACAGGAACTAGCTGAGGCGGAAGCGCAGTTTTCAGACATGGATTGGATCCGTAATCCGGAACAAACACAGAATGCCGAGAATCGGTTGCATAAGGTGGGTTTTTTCCTCTTTGAGTCTGTTCATTAAAGAAAGTGCACATGCATGTTCCCCAACGGTGCCTGATATTTTCGCCTCACTGGATGAGGAAACGTTTGCAAAGAAATCGCTCACCTCAGCTAATTGATCGATGACCACCGTCTCAAATATCCATCTCTCTGTGTGCTTTAAATTGGACTCTCTTTGAGCCTGCCTTCACTGGACCGATTTCAGTGGATTCAGTCCTGAGACCTTCTGAATATACTTCCTATTGGTCCCATATTTTCGCTTTCATCAATGACCGTAATCAAACCGATTCGTTTCGCTTTCCTCATGCGCTATGCGGAGAATCACGTCTTTTTCTGGAGACCGCTGAACGTTCGGCGCAGTATACCCAAGAGCATTAGCAAACAACTTTGATGCGATATTTTCCACGGCACCTAGTTGTTGCCAGTGCTGACTGGCTCGCTGCACGTGACACGTCCCCGGTACTAAACTGGAAGCAGTACTGGTTGGAAATGCAGTTCAGCCGCGTTTTAACGTCGCCCTTGGAAATGGGTACCCATAAGACAGGTTCAGTTAGGAGCAACGTCCTCCTGTCTGTTAACATGTCTTCATCATTGGAACCGATGATTCGGAACCTAACCAGGAAATATAAGAGGAGATGCAGTTCCCTGCCTGGGAATGTTTCGTAAGCTTATCATCACTGCAAGTTCAACCACTCGCCACAAGGTCGCGGGTTCGAAACTCTCAAAGCTTCGTGATGATTCGCAATAAGGATGAGACAGCTGTGCGGTAGTTCTCGGCTTTTCAGTATAGATTAGCTTCAGTGATAGGATGAAATCTCACTTGAGTATCCTCACAAAACCCAGTTACTCCTTCGTCGTGCTTTCTTATTCGAGCAAACCTGGTACTGAAATGCAGTACTAAAAGAGGCGTGTCATTACTTCAGCCCCTTTCCTCCACTGTTGTAAAATTATCAAGCGTTCGACTGTACTCATCCGCATTCATTTCAGTGGCCATCTTTCCAGACGACAAATCTTACTCCATCGGTTGTTGCATCGAGGTTAACCAACTTATTGTGTGTCCTTACATCGGAAATGCCACTTCTGATCATACTGGCTGGACAGTGAAGAGGCTTCTAGGATCATTTGATGGACAAATTTCTTTATTCTTGAGAAACATCGGAGCAACGATGGTTCTTCTTGGAATGTGCGATTTTTCCTAGCCGAGCAGATCCTCCAAAGGTGGATGGAGGTTAGCTGTTCCAAGTGACCTTGAAATGATTGCCCTGCCGCACTGCCCTGGTGACATGAGACGTGTTTGTTCGTCCCATTTATGTCACGCCCATATTCACTGCTTACTACTTGCTAGCGTGCTCAAGGGCCTTCGGGACATTCATACACCCGTCTATTTTATCAGTTTGCAGGATTGTAGTTCAAGGCAACCCAGATACGCTATCTCCTTGTTCATCCGGTCATGAGATGTGTGGAGCCGTGAGGATGGAGACTCCGATTTCGAATGCTGGGTAGAAGCGTCTGACAGTAGCGGTGAAAATTTTCTTTACGGAAGCCGGAGGACAAGTGTCCCGGTATAACGAATGTTGATGGAACAGGAGCACAGTGTATTTACACCAGTTAGGCTTTCTTCCTAACCGTCTCACAACCGAAATGCCAGCTAACAACTTTTGATGTCTTTCAATCGGCTGACTTGCACACCGCTTTTTTCTCGGTCAATTCAATTCACTACTATTTGTGACACCCGGAAGTTGTCCAGTTTCTGTCGTAAAAACTGTGATGTGATTCAGCTTCGCGGCCGTACGGTGTGATGTGTGGCAGCTTCAACTGCGCGGTGACATTTACAAAGGCCTTATAGCTGCTGACTTCAAAGGGACATCATAATGGCGGTGTCGCTTAGCCAGTCAACGCAGATTGCAAGGACTGACCACAGTTCTACCGACCCATATGGTTTATGTCCTCAATTAGAGCTGTGATTTGCACGAAGCAAAAAAAACGATTATAATCTGACAAATGTGCACGAAAACGCTTGTGAGTCTGAGTTTTCATTAACCAAGTAGAAAAGTTTGAGCGATTTGGTGAGTTTCCTGTAAAGAAAATGGTTTGATTTCGTCTTACGCTTTAGTTTACCTATTGCTACGTGACTCACCATTGCGGCCGCACAAACTCTGTGATGTGCCCCCTTGTCAATTCTAGCAATATACCTTGTAAATGGGCTGAAGGTTTCTGGTATCGTTTTGGCTACATTGAATCCCTTGGCCTCCATGATGACAACACCGACAAAGTTAATCTTGCAGCCCCGTGCCCGACTTTCAGAAAGTCATAACAGTGTGCCCACATATACTGATGTGTTCACTTGTTTCTAAATTGCTCCTCGCTTTGCATTGTATGCCGTGTTGATGTCGCACTTGCGTGGAGAAAACTCGTTAACATTTCCGATAACGGCCTTCTCTCTCGGCCTTTGCCGAGAGAAGGATCGCTTTTTCCCATCGCCCTCCATGTAATAGAAAAGTAGCACCCTACTCAGGTGGCGCGCATAGGGTTGTACGCGAGCGAGAACCCCCATCCAGTAAAGCCATGTTGCGTGAAAAACCGTGCACATTCGTCTCCTTTGTATGTTCATTATCGAATGAATGGCTGTGGACAAACTAATTCATGGACCTCATGCAAGCAATTTCGACGTCATGTTTAGTTGGCTCATTCATAACTGCATGCCTTCCGTTTTTGTGTTGCAGGAATTTAGACAGAAATACTTGGCGTTAGATCAGGAAGCTCGGGCGATAGACCATGACTTACTGCTCACTCACCAGCAACGTGTTTCACATTCTGTGGGGAAGCGCTTTGAAGCTGCCGCCTTGGCCTGGGATAACGCAGTTCGTAACGCACCGTCGAACGTGAGTTTAATTCATTGTTTCATCCCTTGCTTCCTTCTTTCGTGTGTAATGGTTCAAGGTCCGTTATTCGAGTTCATCATCAAAATGCAGTCGGGTTTTTTTCCCATGTTCTAGCTTACGTTGCATTGTTGATTGGAGTACCGTGAAACGCAAGTGTCACGCGCGACAATACCGATATCTACGTTTTGCCTCCAAACATGTTGATTTTTTACCTTGCAGTGATATGAGTGTGCTACAAAGACGAGAACAGAGCAAAGTCCATTCTAGCCTGGCTTGAGACGACAGATGGAAGCACAAATTGGACCTTATAATGCCCCAAGAATCGTATGTTTTGTTAAATCTGTTACAGCGAAGTAAAAACAGTGCAGCGCTTCCACAAAATATAACTGAAATCCTCTTATGAACGTTCTTGTGGATATCTTGGCATATGTGGCACTTCTCACGCTCCTAAGAAATGCCAGTAATACCAGTAGGATGCTGGAAAGAGNTCGGCCTCTCCGTCCATTCTTCTGTAAAGTGCAGCCCGGAACGTGACATTTCAGCTTAGCCGCCCCCGACCCACAATTCCTTATCAAAGTGGTCGTTTTCCTCCTACTTTGCATGGACACATTGATCGGATCTCACCTAAAAATACATGTTAGGCAAAGTAACACGGCCTGTAACCCAGACTCCAATGCCGCAGATTGACTGAACGGTAGGATATTGTGTATGGTGGGATTTGAGGCAAAATTATGGCATAACTCAATGGGAACTATACGTGGTAAGTAATAAGGGGTGTCCCATACTCTGGAAGATGTTTTTAGACTTAATTTGGACTGGCCTAATCTGCGTTCACAGCTTTCAGCGTCCAAGATTATTTTGCGGTCCATTTGCTGACAAATCGTCATTGGTCCGTGACATTTCAGCTTAGCCGCCCCCGACCCACAATTCCTTATCAAAGTGGTAGTTTTTCTCCTACTTTGCATGGACACATTGATCGGATCTCACCTAAAAATACATGTTAGGCAAAGTAACACGGCCTGTAACCCAGACTCCAATGCCACAGATTAACTGGACGGTAGGATATTGTGTGTATGGTGGGATTTGAGGCAAGGTTATGACATAACTCAATGGGAACTATACATGATAAGTAATAAGAGGTGTCCCATACTCTGGAAGATGTTTTTAGACTTAATTTGGACTGGCCTAATCTGCGTTTACAGCTTTCAGCGTCCAAGATTATTTTGCGGTCTATTTACTGACAAATCATCATTGGTCCCACATTTAGTTAACAGATGCTTCGGAAGACTTGCTGGGGAAGAAACAGATATTGTCTCAATAGTGTTTCACAATATATCACTAGTCCGTCCTCTGTTCCCCTCAGAATGACGTATAGGGAATCGGTAGGAGTCGGATCCTATCCGAAAGGTCAGTGGTTCGATTTCATCCCCAACATATTTAGTAACTTCGCCTAGTGCCGGCTAACCAGGCGATATCTCACCATCTATGGTTTCTACATCTGGCACTGCCTCTGAGTCTCTCAGTTGATTACTTTGGTTTGCTATGTTTACTGATGCCTGTCCGAGTGCAGTGAAACACACGGTTAATGTTTGCTTGTACTCAATGCGGGAGGTTTACTCCCACACCTGAATGTGCCCATCGCCTAAATGCATCTAGGACGAAATTGCGATTTCCTAAGTTCACCTGAAATCTTTTTTGCTAACGCACTTTCCAGTCTCTAAATCTGATTTGCATGGCTCGGCACACAGTTTTACTGATGGCCACTCCCTGTGGTGTGACCCACTGTGTGTATTGCGTGTTGCATACCAGGTTTTTGCCGGTAGGAACTCAGGGCACTTCGTGTCTTTGCCAGCAGGGTGCCACTGTATCGGTCGCTGTTGCACCAGACGAACCAACCAGTGAACCATGCGGTTTCCTCCCGTCTTCCCCCGCCTCCTCTTTGCTGCTCTGGTTAGTGGACGGCGGGAACGATTTTTCCATTCTGCTGATGCACTTTATGCCGTAACAACTCTGTGATTCGCTGGCAAGTTGTTTATGTACACGTCTGTCTACAACCATCGATCGTTGTGTTTGCGTCCTTCGCAGTTTGGTAGGATCTGCAAGCAAGGTGTTTGTACGATGGGTACACTGTTGTCGTAAACTTTCTGTCTAAAATCTCGGGGACGTAGGCTTTATCACATCTTGCAGTTACGCCTGCTGTGACTCAATCAACTTACGGGGAGTAGGAACTAATTGGAACTGGTGCGATCGTGGCGCATCGATTCAAACTAAATAGTCAATAACTGAACATGAGTGGGGGTTGAAACTTGTTTTAAACAGACGTGTTTGTACGGCTAGGGGGTCCGAGCCTCGCAAGTCAACCTAAGTGACGGAACTGTCATCTGAGCAATTGCATCCGCTCTGAGGACTCGGTAAGCTCACGCAGGTGGAGGAGAAACTCGGGCAACAGACGATCCAGTTTGCTAAGCATATTGCAGTCTTCTGAACCACTCAAGGGAATGTACATCAAGTTTTCGGCCGATGCGAAGTGTTAGGATACAGATTATCTCAACCGAACCTCCCTGAATAGGCATTGAACGAGCTAAGGTCGAGGTTTTCGCCACGATTTAATTTATATTTGTTTTCGTGAATCGGTGTGGTCCACCGTTGTGATTTATGTCCGTGTGCCAGGTGTGACCGATTGTGGCTTCAGCTTTGTACGTCTGACGACAACCATCTCAAGAAAACCGGATTTCAATTGGATGAATACCTTTGAATGTTTGCTGTCTTTCTGGCGGCGTTATGTCGGTAGTGCGTTTGCGATCATGTGTCGTGAATCTCGAGCTGACGTTTGTTTTTTTGTTGGTTTACTTCGTGGCATCTCCTTGTGTAAATGAAACGCTAAAGGTAATCAACACAGTCCGTTTTCCAGTTCACTTACTCAAATATTTTGGGGGAGTACAGACTAGTTCACTCTGTTAGGCACTCAGGCTTCTTTCCATCTCAGTCAGTTGACGCTAAAAGAACACTATCAAAATCACCGACCAATATGTCACTTTGTGAGGCTTCCGGATACACCAAAACAAGAATTGTTAAAGATGTGGAAAAGGCGAACAGCTGTCCTGTCTCACTACTTGAAGAAATACATTATTGATGACAACAAACAATGGTATCAATCTGCCCTAACCCCCAAAGGAAGGACGAGAGCTGAGATAATACCATGTTACTTAAGCCTGCACAGAGCAGTCGAGATGCAGAGGTCGGGTTCGAACCACGGACCTTGTGGTCGATAAGTTTGCGCCTTAAGTACTGAACCATCTTGTTGGAAGTGGAGTTGCGATATCTAAAGAAATCTTTGGGGCTTCATATGAGCTCATTGTCTGAAATCCCATATCCTTCAAGAGTGAACATCGAAGTAACGTATGGTGTGCTGTGTGCTCACTAGTATGAACTAATGGACCGGCATGTTTCACTGCTTCCTCTCTCCATCTATCACACAACCCTGCTCGATGCGTCCTTAGTGTCAGCACCTAAAATATACCCATCCAACTTTTCCATGTTCGTTTTTGAGCGCTTCAGTCATTTATTTTAATTTTTACTCAACGCAGTACATCGCTCTTTTGTTGTGTTACTATCCCGTCGCTGCTTAGGAATATGTTATAATGCCATCCTTCCCAGATCGTTACTTTTCATCATTATCAACTGTAAGAACTGTGTACTTTCTCACAATGGTTATAGCTGCCACACCTTCGTTCGATTATTTGGAGAGGTGAAGCAGATAGTTGCGCATTGGAGGCGGGAGTTGATATAATTGATGGGTAACTACATGGTTGTCAGTGGACTTTTAAGAGGAGAGATTCGGAGGGGATGCACGAGCGACAAGTCATTGAATTCATCTGGCTCGTACGTGGTTATTACAGCTGACAATGATGATAATGATGTATGCCTGTTTGGGAGACACAGCATCCATCAATTTTAAGGCAGTATAAGGTTTCAGCAAGCATTGCCTGTTTGCCAGTTTGAAATAGAATACGGACGTTAAGAGCTTCTATGTATAAAGGACCTCGTGGTTATTGTTTATTGTTAGCAGGCAGCGAGGGTCATAAGGCCCTTCAGCCAAGTAACTGACAGTCAACTAACCCGGCAACGTTTGACTGTGTGGTGGGAAGGGATTTGAGAGAGGGACGTCGGTGAACACGGAACTGTGCGGGAAAATGATACTTCCCTGTTGCTCAGGCTGAGAAGAGTGTTCGGTTGAGGTGCCCCACCCTGAGCCTTTGGCTACAAAATCTGACCCACAATGCAGTTAGACGATGTAGGATTTTGTTCGGGGACTTTGCCCCCAGCCTCTGACTCAAAAGTGTGACCCGACGGAACTGTGCGGGAAAATGATACTTCCCTGTTGCTCAGGCTGAGAAGAGTGTTCGGTTGAGGTGCCCCACCCTGAGCCTTTGGCTACAAAATCTGACCCACAATGCAGTGAGACGATGTAGGGTTTTGTTCAGGGACTTTGCCCCCAGCCTCTGACTCAAAATTGTGACCCGTGAGGCAGTGGGAGAATGTAGGGTTTTCTTTGGGAACCGTGCCCGGAGCTGATGACTCACTAGTCTGACCCGCTCGGCTGCAATGGTTTCGCCGAACCCGAGTACGCACTCCTGATGCGACCACGTGCATCAGGTACCTTTTGAGCACTACCGGCCTCTTTGATTTTTAAAGTATTCCGAATGTTCTGGTTAATGCACCGGCAGTCACGGTCAACTGTTGAGTGGTCGGAGTGAGTGGCTTTTAGGGCCGACCTTTTCTCATCCGTCCTCCCTCGGGAGAAGGCAACATCACTGCTCGCATGACTGTGAACATGCTTGTCGCCTGGGAGAAACACCTATCTGCCTTCACGCTCTTATCGCATAGGACAGCACGACTTTACCTCCAGACCACCTCGTAGCATGATTACCCGTAGTACCGGCTCTCGCTGCTCTTTCTTGCATGGAACGAAGTTCCAGATAGTGTAGTCCGCCGAATCATTGCAGCAATTAAGCCCGTCATCACTTCAAGCCGAATTGTGACCCGTGAGGCAGTGGGAGAATGTAGGGTTTTCTTTGGGAACCGTGCCCGGAGCTGATGACTCACTAGTCTGACCCGCTCGGCTGCAATGGTTTCGCCGAACCCGAGTACGCACTCCTGATGCGACCACGTGCATCAGGTACCTTTTGAGCACTACCGGCCTCTTTGATTTTTAAAGTATTCCGAATGTTCTGGTTAATGCACCGGCAGTCACGGTCAACTGTTGAGTGGTCGGAGTGAGTGGCTTTGGCAGTTAACCTTCCAGTCCAAACGCAGTGGTTCCCACCCTGTAAGTAATCATCGATATCCAGTAACCTCTTCCGAAAGAACAATATCAGCAAACCATTAAGTAACGAAGTAACGAAGTAACAAAATGCCTGCGGTATCCAGCTCTAAATACTTTTTGAATCGCACTGAACAAGTGAAGCAAGGAATTGGTAATGCTGAGCGGAGGCACATTGGCGGCTGGTTACGCGTAAGTTTGACAGTATATATAGACTGAGAGTAACGATGTGAAGATCTACCACAATCAAATATGCCTCATTTTTTAACTCTCGCCTACGACCGCATGCCAAAGTGTCGTTCTTCGTGCTTTCCGGAATGGCTTGATCTGGTGCACATGGTGAAATCTTGGTTGAAAAAATTCCAAACCTCTTTGCATCATCACCATATTCTAAATGTGGTATGACTTTGAGAACTCGTATGAAGAATCAATAAAACGGATCAACAAATTAAACAATTGGTCGTGTTGAAATTTCCTGCCATCGTGACAATCCTAGGAAAACTTATCACTCACGCGTCGTCTACACCCCTTTTTTCTCATCCAGATTCAGTTAGGTAAGCGATTGAAATTTCCAACAAATAAGTAAAGTGTTCACTATAAATTCTTAAAATTCCAATTTTTCTTACCTGAGACTACTTTCCCCACCTGTCATCTTCCTTAAATTTGCTGGTTGCAGTTCCCGAACATTTGTGTGGAAAGGAGGTTGAGTTTGTGTCTTCACAGTTGATGTAAATTCGTGTAATAAGGCCTTCGCTTTCCATAAAATTCACAGTTTAACAGAAGTTCCCCCCCCTAACAGAGACCATCCTTGAGGGACGCCAAACTTGGTTCGCAACGATTGGTTGTTGTTTAGCGGTTGTGGGTTTCCTCACAATCTGAGTGTTTACATTTTTACATTTTTTTGTTCCTTCTGCAAATAAGTAAACTACATTTTCAATGCACTTAGAAGAAGTGAGATTGATTCACCTTGTCGAGAAGTCACGTGGCAGAAGCTGGGTAAAAAGTGCTCTGTGCTACCTTCCTCTTCGAAGGCAACTATAGAAACCTGTGCTTCGGGATCCATTTGATTGGGCCTGTGAGGACTCGGTTGCGAATTTCTGAAACGAGCCCCTCCGCAGACGTCCCTCAAAACCATTCTTATGCTCAAAGTGTTGTTCGCTAAGGTTCTGGTAAGGATCTTACTCTCATGCATTTCACCCACGAGTTCCAGCGAGACGGCTCAAGTGGTTAGAGCGCGAATTCACTGACCGGAAGGTCCGTGGTTCGAACCCGACCTCTGTCTCTCGACTTCGTCTGTCTAGGCTTGGGCAACCTGGCAGTATCCCAGCCCTCGTGCAACCTTCGGGTAGCATGGCAGTTAGGCACCGGAAGGGTACTACAGCTGAACTACTACTTCAGCCAACTTCATATTTCTGCAGCTTATTGATCTTCATCTATCTCAGTTAAATTCACTCCTGTTTACAATGAAATAGAGGCTTCCTAAGATCCAACACGGTTCGACGAAAAGCAACGAATTCGTACTTGAGAAATGTGTGTTCTGCGGCAGCCGCCCCGAATCTGAACAGATTGTTCTTTCCATTTCCTTCAGACACTGCTATACACACAAGCCAATTATAGGTTTAGCCTGCCGTTATTATAGGACATCGTGACACATCAGTAATGCCCCCTAATGCTCCATGGACCTTGACCGGACCTAATTTCAAGTGGAGTGAATTATCTCGAGGGAATGAGAGTTTTCTTTGTGTAGTCCAGAGGTGGATGGAGTAGTGAAGCCTGATGTTACCTTTTTGAACGAAGATTTCCTCGTCTAGCGGCGTGCAATCATGTGGCTGTTTAGCAAAAGTTATGTTTTCCTTGTAATTATTTGTTTTTAATCGCGTGAGCTTCCTGATTCAATGTCTAGCTTCCATCGTAAGACGAATTTTCCTTTTCGAGGACTTAGTTGGTCTCTCGATGCGACTTCCGAGTAATGGCTTTTTCCACCTATTGTATGTGACCTCAGTCTTTGGTGGCAGTGTTGAAGAGCTTTATGCTATGTGAACCCGTTGCCGCTACCATCGAAGGCATCCTACCAATTGGCAGATCCAACGATGGGAGAGCTTGACTGTGATATTTCCGCGAAATGTGTTTGTATGACGACCGTCGGTCAGGAAAAGCAAAACTGTTCACGGGAGAAACCCATAGCCCGAAGCGATCATGCTGTGCTCCTATTTGTTTCGCCTGCTATCGCATTTTTATCCGTTTCAGCTCACGCAACTTCTCAGTGCCATAGAACATTTGCAACGTGTTGTTGAACGGGATCGGTACCATTTGATCCGACGATGGGAGCATTTACAAGCGACCGACCCTTTGGAGGCCAGTCGTGTCCTGAGCAACTTACGTGGACGACTGGATGATGTGGAGAGGCAGTTCAATCGGAGTCTGGAAAAGTTGGATCAGGTAGGTAGCTTTTTGTTGTCAAGGCTCTTACGTTCAATTTCCGTGTGTGTATGCACGTGTGTGTGTATTTCCTCCAGGTTTGAATTTCGGATGAATCTGTTTGCATGTGGACAATTCCTTGTACTTAGTCTTCGAAATGGTACACCGTCTTCGTCCAGCGCTGAGGGATAATGGAGTACGTTGTGAGATTAAAAACCGTATTTTCACATGCGGCTGAGATTCTTATTTTTCTATTAGTGAAAACTGGTCCAGTCAGTTCACTCATATTTTGGAACACTGAACAGTTTAGACGCATATGATTTATGCCGGATACATTGATGGCCTTACTTTATTTACTTTTTCTTATGCTATGTTTATCCTTTTAGTTAACTTCCTCGAGTGCACTTGTCCTGTTTTATATGGACTGCCCTTCAGAAGATATCTGTCTTAATCCGTTTTTCGGATGATATATTTTTATCTTCTGTCGCACCCTAGTTGGGATGGTTTTCAAGGCACACCAAGACTGTCCCAGTGGAAACTCAGCAAAGATTCACATACTTACACAACGTTTATCGTGCACTGGGCGTGTCAAGATTGCAACTAAGCAACTTTCGTGGGCATGCTGAATTGAGGGTGACCGTTCACTTGTGTTTTCAACATCTAGCTGTTTACTGGTATTTGGCTGCTTATCGGACAACACATCTTCCCCTGGTAACTTTTAGAAAGTTATTCAGTAATTCGTTGAATTTTCGTCGAAAAACGGCCTCACTCAAGCGTAATTGTGGAACAGAAAACAATAATTTTCTTGCACTTTCAAGGAACTCAAGGTTCTACGTTTCATACCAACGGCCTTCAATTTTCTTCGGAACAACTTGATCACCCTTCTGCAGTTGGTTTCAGGATACTACTCTTTATTTTGCAGGCCATCTGGGTGCTATTATCTGTTTGATGTTTTCTTACTGATCTTAGCGTTCAGTTCCTGTTCATCATTGCAGGTCCCACTGTTGAAAGATGCTATTTTACACCATGTGGCACAACTGCGTGATAGGGAATATCCGCAGCTAGACGCAATGGTCAAATCTTTACACCACGTAAGCATGCCGGAAGCGGATGGGGTTCTGCTCCCCACAGCTGACCAGGAGGCGGCGTTGGAAGCGGAAACTATAATTGCAAAGTACCGTCATCACCTACCCAAGTTGGATCTGGATAATAAGTCGGGCAAGACAAACACCAAACCAGAAGGAAATAAATTCGCGTCGAAAATAACACGAATTGGAGAAGGTTTGTTACCACTGAATAATGCAATGGTTGTCTTAGTATTTTCTGACTTCAGGCATCTTTTTACGCCATCACTTAGCCAGCCAACCTCACGATGCCCATTCTGAATTTTTTCGCAGTGTGTAAGAGAAACATCCGTGCATCTGAAATCAGTAACGAGTGATGTCGACCATGGTAGCTTTACAACCGTATTTTCACATGCGGCTGAGATTCTTATTTTTCCATTAGTGAAAACTGGTCCAGTCAGTTCACTCATATTTTGGAACACTGAACAGTTTAGACGCATATGATTTATGCCGGATACATTGATGGCCTTACTTTATTAACTTTTTCTTATGCTATGTTTATCCTTTTAGTTAACTTCCTCGAGTGCACTTGTCCTGTTTTATATGGACTGCCCTTCAGAAGATATCTGTCTTAATCCGTTTTTCGGATGATATATTTTTATCTTCTGTCGCACCCTAGTTGGGATGGTTTTCAAGGCACACCAAGACTGTCCCAGTGGAAACTCAGCAAAGATTCACATACTTACACAACGTTTATCGTGCACTGGGCGTGTCAAGATTGCAACTAAGCAACTTTCGTGGGCATGCTGAATTGAGGGTGACCGTTCACTTGTGTTTTCAACATCTAGCTGTTTACTGGTATTTGGCTGCTTATCGGACAACACATCTTCCCCTGGTAACTTTTAGAAAGTTATTCAGTAATTCGTTGAATTTTCGTCGAAAAACGGCCTCACTCAAGCGTAATTGTGGAACAGAAAACAATAATTTTCTTGCACTTTCAAGGAACTCAAAGTTCTACGTTTCATACCAACGGCCTTCAATTTTCTTCGGAACAACTTGATCACCCTTCTGCAGTTGGTTTCAGGACACTACTCTTTATTTTGCAGGCCATCTGGGTGCTATTATCTGTTTGATGTTTCCTTACTGATCTTAGCGTTCAGTTCCTGTTCATCATTGCAGGTCCCACTGTTGAAAGATGCTATTTTACACCATGTGGCACAACTGCGTGATAGGGAATATCCGCAGCTAGACGCAATGGTCAAATCTTTACACCACGTAAGCATGCCGGAAGCGGATGGGGTTCTGCTCCCCACAGCTGACCAGGAGGCGGCGTTGGAAGCGGAAACTATAATTGCAAAGTACCGTCATCACCTACCCAAGTTGGATCTGGATAATAAGTCGGGCAAGACAAACACCAAACCAGAAGGAAATAAATTCGCGTCGAAAATAACACGAATTGGAGAAGGTTTGTTACCACTGAATAATGCAATGGTTGTCTTAGTATTTTCTGACTTCAGGCATCTTTTTACGCCATCACTTAGCCAGCCAACCTCACGATGCCCACTCTGAATTTTTTCGCAGTGTGTAAGAAAAACATCCGTGCGTCTGAAATCAGTAACGAGTGATGTAGACCATGGTAGCTTTAACAATACAATCTTATGGTCCACATCCCACGCGCTCCTCTGTTCCTGTCAGATTTCACTCTGAGAAGTATTCATCGACCAGTAGTACGCCAGTGAATCATGCACACCTAGTTAAATTTTGCCCGTTGGAACCAGTGATCAACATGGTCCTCATCAACTACGGCGAAACGGTACGGCACGTATAAGACCGTTTTTCTGCTGGACATTATGGCAGCCCACTCCTTCGAATGGAATGCTTAGTTCAGTGGTTATCACGAATTTAGTTTTCCCGTGCGTGGTGCTCTTTGGCTAGATTTGCATAGGTCATGCCGCGGAAGAGTCGTGATACAACTGATTTTCAAAATTAGTCACTATGATCGAATCTCCGGTTGGGACTGAACTCATTGTTAGTGGATCTCGCATACACACCTGTTAGGTTGTATCCTGTGCCAAAACCGCCTTACCGCCCGCAGTTGGGCGATCCTACGCTAAGAAGTCCTATCCCGACGCGATCAGCCAGATATTCGGGACGCTTGCCGGTCCGGAATCAAGGTAAGTTCTGGTTGGCCGAGAGCGTGAATTTTACAACCAATCATGATTCAGTGTCTGCCGCATATGGACTGCCAACGCTGCATCCAGAAGACTCCGAATTTCCAGATTGTTGTCGTCTCATACGGTTTAAATGTGACATTATTCCATCTGTGCTATTTCTCAGTGTCGTGCACCAAGAGGACACTATAGCGGGAAAATTCTACAGTTAGTGTTGTGGTTATCCTCGTTTGAACATCACTTCTCTCCTGGCGCTATTGTCCTCGTGAGGCCTCACTAATAACATCAAGCATTGAATTCGACTTTTACTCTTATTAGAGTTTATCAGTAATGCATATTCAAGCATGTAACTGTAAATGTGCTCTAATGAGAGTGAAACTCTGGTATTGACTCACCGAACTATTTGTGTCCGGACGGGAAATGTGTTCAACAGAGAGCGAAGCGAATGCAATTGATTCGGTCCATCGCAGATCTTTTCCAGAACCCACTTTTTTCAAACCCTCTAGATCTGGACACCCCAGAGAAATAGATACAGGGTTCAAGAAGAACTAAAAGTTGGCAGAAATTCTGGAACTACGCCTACTTCATGAGCTTCAAGAAGGGCGGAAATACTCGTGGGGTGTCAGGGAGTTTTCAACAACGTTGTTTCCTCTAGACAGGGTCTTCTTTCGTTCCCGCCGACTGAGGAAAATAGGTTTGAATCCAAACTAGTTTCCTCCTGTTATGAATGGAGGAGCATGGGTATGTTTAGTTTTGTTCCATCAGATACAGCCACTACGAGCTTCTCGAAGCCGAAGCCTAAGTAAACTCAGTGCGTCCACACAACTACGCTACCAAACTATGTCTTATCCGGATTCCTTTATACAGATCACTTCAACCCAACACGACCCCATCATTTCTCAGAACTGGACGTAGTGTGAAGTCGACAGGTGGTCGTTATCGTTTGACAGTGTACGAACAGCCCCTATATCCGTATGTGGTTGTCCAAAGAGCGCTTGATTATGGTTATCTGTGCGCTTGCAGTGTCATCAAGGCGGTCTCCAATGTTATTCTATCTCAAACATCATGTCAATGACCTTTTGAACTGTTCTGCGGGATCTCATTCTTTTAAAACGTGTTGTCGCCTCCTTGTGTCTCTAAGGGGCATACTGCATGTAGTAAATGTAGGCATCTTTATTTCTGTCCACTGTTGATCCTTGTCCCGAAGACACTTCTGTGCATATCGTCAGTTGGGAGGTAGTGTGCCTGTTCCTTCTTTCACATTACTTTCTTTTTCAACGAATATTGCACTAGATGACAGCACCAATGGGGACCAATCAAAGCCTCCAACTCCCCGATGGGACTTACACGTCAGCGCCTATGATGCTACACCATCTGCTTTTGGACCACAACACGCCAAGCAGGACACGCTTTTGATTAACGACACCCGGTCATCTCAGGTTTGTTTTCCAGGATCTTTAAAATATTTTCCATCTTTTCCTGTTCCATCCCTACTCAAGCATCGTTCCACATGCTTATCAAAGTTCACCATTCAAGCAAAATCGGAGTTAGCGCACTGCTTAGTAAGGCAACCTCAGCCTTATATGCTTAGAGAATGAGACGGCGTTCGAGCAGCTCATTAGGTCCTCATAGTCTCCAAATAACGTGTGTTGAACACTTAAATAAGTTTAGCTTCCCCAAGCTGCGCCTGTTAGTCTGGTAAATTCATAGACAGTATTTACTTCCACCAGATTCCTCGTTGTATGTAGGATTTCCGTTGCAGCCAATCATTGTAATATTAACGCCCGTAAAGCTGTCACGACTGTCAAGACTATAACGTACTCCCTTCTGGCGGATACAACTTTTGATTCGCTCATGGATTTAGGGTCGTTCTCTACACAGTCGTGGGGACCCGAATTCATGTCGTCATGTACCTACTTACTATTCCGGTTCGCGAATGGTGATTATCATTCGTTCATTGTGAAATTATATCCCTAATAGAAAGCCGATAAACCGTTCACTCCATCAACACGCGAATTAGCCGGGGAGCAGTAGAAGCTTACAAAAAGTCTGAAGGTTTCGATGCGGTGTGCTTGCGGTGGTGGGTTGCACGTGGCCCTCTGTGGGCCTGCTTGAATGCAACGCAAACTATGATTGTGGACTGATTTCAGTCTATTATATGTAGGTGATTGCTTTATTTTGGGGATTCTCATTAAAAGCATTCTTGTTAGAACAGTCATCCTCGTGCTCTGATGCAATCATTCCGTTTAGTCCATCATGTTCGTGCCGTCAGTTTTTAACTCAGCTGTCCAAGCGACGAGATAGAACCCTCGGGTGGTAAGCTGGATCAATGTCCCTTCGGTAATGTTGCGGAATATAGGTAGCTCGGGTGCGTTGCTTGATTGTGGGTCTGTTCACGATTTCTTAATCCTTTCCTGACAAGTTTTCACACGTTATTGAGATGATGAATGGCCATTTTTCAACACTAGTGTTGGATCTATAATAATGATAATGAAGTTTGGTGGCAATCGGTAGATTTATTGCTGGGCAACCTTTCGCTTTTGACACAAAAGCTTCGTCAGGCCAAGTGACTATGTTCCGAGGTTGGTTGAGATTTAAGGCGGAAGGAGAACCAATAAGCTAAGTCAAGCTAAATCTCTGTTGGGTGTCGGCCGAGGGATTTCAGTGTGTTAGAGTGGTTGAACAAGTGTTGGGTCGATGCGGGAACCCACATGTGTTTGGGTCCAGCCTAGAGTCTAGTTCTTCTGGTTCGGTTCATTTGATGGTACCTCTTGAACTTCGTTTGAACCTTCTGTCAGTCTCTGTGGGTGAGCTAGTGCTAAGATAGTTGGGTAAGAGGGATGCTGTGATCTTTGGTCGGGTTAAGATTTCCACCCCCACCCCCCGGTTTTTTCTAATGATCCTAGGTGGATTGACAACCACACCGTCACGTGTCAACTCAACTTTTATCTAAGACTGCTTTCCATACACTCGCTAACTCCACACCCTCGATTCTTTTCACGCTTTGATGCTTAGTAATTTCCATTTCTCGGCTATCAACCGCTGTGATGTGAATCGCACTTCCCGCCTTAAAATGTCCACATTCTCCAGATCTATTCTATGATTTAGGATACTTAGTGTAATATGTAACACAGTGTATAAAACAAAACGCTATATCATAATGTATAATATCACAACAGTATATGACAATAATAAAAAACAATGCTACTAGTAATACGGTACAACACTCTAGAGAGATCACTCCTGCAGTCATGACAAGTTCTGCAAACCCTACATTGTGGAAGAACCATTCCTCCATCCCCTACTTCAGTAAATTTTCCTGCGACAACGAGCACCATTACTTCGCTTGATTCGATATTTTTTTCTTGTTATAACTGTAACCCGAATTCTTAGCACTTGCGCACAACCTTGCACCTCTCACTAGCACATTGATAATGACTTGAGGCTTGAGTGCCAAAAATATTTATGCTGGTTACAAACTTGTTTAGTGATACGTTGGGCCTTAGTTTGTCCCACAGCGCTGGAATTTCAGTTGACAACGAAACCACTGAGGTTTGAAGATCAAGTATAGTGTAGCCCTTCGAAAGGGGGGAGACACTGCATGGAACCCAAAAATCCGCTCTATTAGCGAGTATCGTTTTAGTTCTGAAGGCTTTTTTAATCAATCCTACTGGAAAACGTTGACAGCTCTATTCATCAATACTAATCATCCCGTAAAGAAGCATCACATGCCGTTTTTGCAGGAAGTCCCTGGGGTGGGATATTGCTGGCATCAAAATGCTAATCGGTTTCCACGGGCATTGAGCGCTACGCCTCTCAAGTGGCAATACGTAGCCTGGTACCCTTTTCATACGAGCTCTGGGGAACCAAATTTATCGCGAATAATTGGGCTTACGTAAGTGTAACTGCCCACCGCTCTCCTGTTATTTGATGGCGAAATGTTTGCAAGTTAATTGCCAAGCTCGGCGAACAGATCACCAGCCAATAAACTCGCCCAAGTTACCGATGTTTCGAAAGTACAAGTTTTTATACACAAATGATGGGGTTTTCAGCCAGCTGCCTGTCGCTACCCTTCCAGCTTGACCTTGTGGGTATCCCTACTGTTAAGTGTATGCGTCAGTCGTAATAAAATCACCTCAGAGCGTTGACATCTGAGGAAGCGAAAATGAGGAGAGTTCGCCTAAATGCATTGTTGATTTTCCCAACTCAAATAAAGCACGAGTGCAGAGTACCCTGGACAAAAAGTACAAACCAAATATAGATGAGATGGAAGAATTCCAAACCATTTGATAGCTCCATGAATATCCTTTCGTGATACATGGATGCACTGAGTGTGATTTCCCGGTGTCCTCAAAGCAGATGACTGTCTGACTAAAGCCCATCTTCAATCTAGTGGTAGTGATTCCCATGGTAGAAAAGCATCTGAATAGCGGAGAACTATTAGTCCCCCTTCAGAGAGAACACTTTAGCTCTTCTTTACTGGTAGTCCCTGCAAGAAAGATGTGAGTGGTTTTGTTGGCGTGAGTCGACAGTACCTACGCGTTCAGTGGCATATAACTGGATGAGCTATCGGAATCATTGAAGCCGTTAGCGGCTATCCACCGCTGTTATGGTACAGGTTTTAGCCAATTGTGTCAACATCGGTGTTCGCTTTATCAATTCAGCGTGTTCTAATTTGTTCGTTATTTATCCTTAGCACTTTGTTGCGCTCCTGGATTTCGATCGATAATTGCTGACAAATTCCACATTTAGTTTCAAGGGTCTTCACTCAGTAGCTTGCAGGTTGTCTACAAATACATTATGATGTGTCAAATTTGCAATTGCGACTGCGTGATGATCTGATCGGGGCTTTGAATTGATCATGTGCTCGCGTTCTAGCCTTATTCATTTTGGCCTGTTCACTTCCATCGGGTAACAACCCATTGCTTTACTAGACCCAACTCCTTAATATCTTATCGAATAGGGTTCTCTGTGTGGGGCGGAATAATTTGATCTACGGCAGTAAGCATCAGTTGCCAACACTGATGTTGCTGTCAGATGATGATGATGATGATGATGATGATGGCATTTGATCTCTATGTTAGCTAGGTGAGGATAGGCATGGAACTCTTCTACACACATCACACCGGTACTCACCGTGAAGAATACTGACGATCATTTCTCATTTGTAGCCGGCAGCTAACACTCAAACGAAGCACACTCATCCATCCCAACCTCAGGGGCTTGGTACGGTGACCAAATGGTTCTTAGCCCTGACAGCCGTTTTTGGCATTCTCATTGCTACACTGTTCGTATTACGATATCGAATACGGCGGGCTCGACTGCACCGTGCTGGTTACTCGTGCACCGTGGCGGAGGTAGACGAAATCACTGCCGTGGATGTAACCGGTGTGGACCAAACTGTAGGCCTGCACGACGATGAAGCAGACCGACTGGTCAACTGGCGTTTCAATGGCTATGAGAATCCTGCTTACAAATATCCGGACAATGTTGTCCGATTTCCACGAGCCTAGATGCACCACCATCCTCATCGGCTCATCGACAATAGTCTCTTTATTTATCTTTTTCCACTTCTCATCAGTGCTCATTTCTTCTCTGTCTCTTTAGTTTTGATTTCACAATGTTCATTCACTTTTTTGTTTATTGTATAGAAAGGACACGTCAGTAGTTATAACTACAACCACTCGCATGCCTTATCCATACAATCGTGACCGACCTATTCCTGTACACCAGCAGTTTTTTTCTATATTTTACGGACGCATGTCAATATTACTTCCATGCATTTAGAAAAGCCAGTATACCAACGAAGTAAAACGCTTTTATGTTTCTTTGCAATTTATGAAAACGTAGGTAAATGAAATCGCTCCGTGATCATGGCCTACATTAACTGAAGGCTGAATAAAATCGTGTATTATTGCCTCAGGGATGAGTAACCGTGTGGCCCTAGGTACAGCGTACAGGACAGTTTTCACTTGGCTATTGTTTCCATCGCGTAGACTGGCCTTTGTTTCCCTTCACAAACCGGTTTGGTTGGTCCATATGTTCAACTGTACTTGCTCCATCACTTGACACTACGTGGGAATCCTTTTGAAATACCTGTACTCCATAACTTGTTCTTTGAAAGTAAGTAGGCAAATGGTAGTGTGAGGAGACTGGGTAATTTTCAAATGATCCTTTGTCCTGTCAGTAAAGTCAGTCTATACTGAAAAGCCGAGAAGCACTGTATGGCTGTTTGACTCTAAGAATAATGGGCAGTGCGCATCTTACGTAACCAACTCTCCACCCTTCGACTACGAGAGGTCGAACAACACTGCGAGAATCACTTCCGGGACTGACTGGACTTATATGCAGGATGTAGATGAGTCTAACTATACGGGGGAAACCGTTTTATTGTGCGTTCTTCATGGTATCATCCACCGACCCATTCCATGTTTCCGGTAGTCTCTCTCTCCGATCGCTGCATCCTGGAAGTCTCAAGTAAAGGCACATTCGGCGGGGTGGCGCTGGAACATATTGACTCTGAATCACCAGTTTTTTAGAGGGAAACCCCTATTAATTGCTTCAGAAGTGGATCTAGACTGTTGTATGATCGGGCCACGCTGTTCGAAGAATCGCTCTCGAGGGTCAGTGTATCCCATAGCAGGTACTTCCAGCACCGTATTCGTAGTAGTTTCCCCGGCGGTCGCACTTCATTTGTCATCATGAACTTTGTACCCGGCGCTACTGCAGAGTCCACTGGTCATGATGCTTAGTTAAGCATCGTGATAACAAGTATCGAGGTACCTGAACACACTTCGGCATTAGAATTGTCATGCAGGTATAAATAACAAAACGTATTTACAGGAGTGATTCCACGTATTCTGCACCCTCAAGGATCAACTAGTTTCACTAAAGTTCAGCTAAAAATTTCAGCTTCAGAGCCATCCGCGACTTCCATCCATTGTATTTGAATCAACTTTTTTCGAAATTCGCGATATCTTATGAAGTCGGGCGACATGTTCACAGTCGGTAGTGCTAGGTGACCTTGAAGATTCACACACTCAAACAAATAACCCATGAAAATAATCTGCAGAATAATCCATTTTCCATATTATAATCTGGAAACCCTAAAATTGTTGCAGCTTCTGAAAAATCAATTCCAGTGTATGAATACTGAACGGCTCGAATGCGCCAAAATAATCCCAAGGAAAACTAATTAAGACATGCAAATCGTAGCTATATTTGTTTTAGGTTGCACAAAGGGGAGTGCACTGGTCTAAAGCAAGAGTTTGCCTTCGATACAGAGGGTCTTCGGAGAGAAGCGGATGTCTTATTTGGATCGGCTGGAAATTCGGACAACTGAAAACCAGTTGCCACCAAAATGTTTGTCGCAGATGCGGACTGCCAAGGATTTGTCCCATTGTGGTGTGATGCTACGCTATTTTCAGGCACAGTAAACCCCTTGGGAACCCGTACATTCGGTTACCAAGTCGGAATTTATCTTGCACACTATTTCCAACGGCAACTGATACGTGTTAAAAGACATGGCTCAATTTGATAACGCGGCCGAGTAAGTGACATTGCACCGGATAATAGTCTTGCTGAGATTCTGTCCATAACTGACCATGTATCTGTCTCCAATCTGAGTGCTCGTTGTTTATGCATCGCTCAGAAGTCGTAATTCATGCGCAGCGCTGGTTGGTGCTGCAGTGGTCTGGCTACCCAATAAGTTAGTTTATCAGATGTGTGGCAAAGAAATAAAAATAATAACGCTAGTTTGAGAATACAATATTAAAGAGGTCAGATGTGAGAGACTCTTTATAAATTATTCTCATTAAAATGGTTGGTTGTTGGTCCGAATCAGCTAATAAATAATAATCCAACCATGGTTGGCCAGGGTTCTTCTTCTAAATGGTTCTCACTTATTTATTCCGAAGATAGTCTGAAATGTTGAGCTACCAGACATAGCACATGAGACTCGCGAATGACCGCTGTGAGCACGAGCGAAATCAGGAGAGTGTAGAAGCACGTGGCTATGCTTGTGTTGCGTAAAATTGTACAAGTGCGCGTAGATTTGTAGATTTTTCGTATTCAACCAAAAAACGGTTGTGCGATTGACAAATTATGTAATGTTATAATGAAAGCAAAAGAAAGATACAAAACACCACACCGCCAACAAAGATCTTGGGCACATTGGCACGCGTACGCCAAATCTGTGTACTATCAGATAGACTGCATCGGGTGGGAAACACGAATATAAAAGCAGTTATGTTTTGGCACAGACGGTTAGCTCCTCAGTTGTACGCGTCATTTATTTCAGTTCAAGAGGCTACCCTGGGTACGCGTTTTCGGAGTTCAATGGAACGTAAATCCACTGATTCAGCAATAAGTCAGAAAGTCGCACCGAAAAACTTGTGCATCGGTACCATTTTTCTTTTGATGTAATTATTGGTACAACAAAACAAACGTCATGATAAAATATGCACAACAGTTACAAAATGTAGTTCAGGAAAAAATGGTAAATGAATGTGATGACGGATTACAGACACCACAAATCTCACCCAGCGTCGCACATAGACGGGTCTAGCCAGCCAGGGTTGGCGATGGCGTGTACGGTTATCAGGATGACGGAAAATAATTGGACCTATTTTCCAGCAACGCCCACCTAGGTTGGAATAACGCTTATCAATGCAAAAGATATCTCACTGGGAGGGCAAAAGTCCATGTGCGGAGCTTTGAAAAGGCTGCATTATCTACTGACTGATTGCGCATATCCGGAAAGGACTGTTTTCATGAGTGCCGCACAGTACATCGAGTTGTCTTCTATTGCCATTCTGCACACAAGGCGAGCTTCAAAAGCCAATGTTTTGCATTGGTCTGGTGAACAACTCAACCAAACTTCTACGTCTCTCAGGAATAGCGCATCAAAATATCGTTCAAATATCTTCCTGTGTGGGATTTGCATCGGATATTCTTTAGATATTACCTCCTATTTGAGTAATGCCGCGGAATTTTAAGATATGCTGATATTTCATTTTGAACTTGGTCAGTGTTTTTAAACGTTTTCTCACTTAAACAAAATACCACGAACAACATCAAGTTCGACTGCATTAAGCTAACTCCTGAGACAGTTCGCAAATTTGAGAACCCTGTATTGTCAACGAAATGAATTTCGGTTTGTTCCTAGTGTGCACCGATGTGGGATTGTGCTTGGCTGTTTCGTCCGAAGTTTCGACCACTTGCAGCTCGGTTTCATGATGGACGAAGTGATCGAAAATCCTTCCGGGTAGCTCTCGAATGCCGAGGAGATAGCACCGCTTTCAGGGGCCCTTCTAG